CCAAGCACCTGACTCTGCCTATGCTGAGATAATACTTTGAGTTCATAAACCAATAATGAAATGAGACCAAAAAATACCCATTGCTAACCCAAGTTTCAGTGTAGCTTATAAAATTACTTGGAAGAAACAATCAGAGAGGCATGAGAACAAGCGGTAGGGTGTTTCAAAAGGCAAAAGGAAAGAGAATGAAAATAAATGAAAAGAATTAAGTTCAATGGCAAATGCAAGATCCACGTTGGAGCAGTTTGAGGACACCGGCTATGCCGGGCTGCAGCACATTGCTATCGTGGGAAAGGCAGAGTGTGCCTTTGTGGTTCTTAAACCGGAGCTGCTTATTTAGTTTTTCCTAGACAGGATTTTTCATCAGCTCTCCATGATTATTCCATTTTTTGTGTTTCCTCAATTTATAGAGGGCTTTAGATTACCACTAGTCTGACCCCTCAGGCATTTTCCTAGGACTAGCTTTCAGCTGCTTCGAAATGATATGACTGCCAGGAAAGTACCGCTGCATCACCTCAGGCCTTTCTAGGAAGAGGTGATGCACTAATTGTGTCCTAATCCAAATGATATAAATGTGCAAGAATGTAGAATACTGGACTGGTTGGCCAGGCGCAGTGGCCCACAGCTGTAATCCTAGCATTTCGGGAAGGCAAGGTGGGCAGATCATAAGGTCAGGAGTTTAAGACCAGCCTGGCCAACATAGTGAAACCCTGTCTCTACTAAAAATACAAAAAATTAGCCAGGCATGGGGCGATGGGCACCTGTAATATCCCAGCTACTTGGAAAGCTAAGCCAGGAGAATTGCTTGAACCCAGGAGGTAGAGATTGCAGTGCGCCAAGATCGTGTCATTGCACTCCAGCCTGGGCGACAGTGTGAGACTCTGTCTCAAAAATAAATAAATAAAATAAAAAAATAAAAAAGAATACTGTTTAATTATTCTTCAAGGTAAACGGTGAGTAAAGAAGAAAACATATTCGAGGAACAGATGTCCAAAGCAGGATTTGTGTCCTCTAACATAAGGCTAAGAAGAAAACATCAGAAAATTTTTATTATTGTGTGGGTTCTATTTATCTAATGAAAAAAATATTATGAATCATTAAAAATGATCTTAGAAAATTAAAAAGAGAAATCCAAATGAAATTCTAGAGAGTGACTTTTTCAAATAATTTTGACAGATACACCACAGCATCCACTGTCCTCCAAGTCTGTCTTCTCACGATCCTTTCAAACTCTAGATACTACAAAACAAAGTAATCCGAATTGTGCTATGTGCATTAAAAATAATTGTAAATAATTAAAAATAATTGTAAAACATAGGAACGTGTGAATCCATAATACTAATGTTTGGCTAAACTTTGGAGAAATCTGCTATATTTAAGGATACAGAAAGGCTTCACTAATCATAACTGAAATCAGGACACAGTCAAAGAATCAAACAAGCAACTTCGGCTTGGCTTCAATAACAAAACATTTAGAAACTTCCTCGGCTACTCCAGTGAGATCTTTCCAAAGCAGAAAACTGGGATACAATATTTTGTTTATTGTGTATTAGCTTTAGAAATATCCCTCAAAGACAGGTGTTTAGTGTTGTTTAGAAGAATAATTTTGCATATTATAACCTTTAAAATTTGTCATATTTATGGAGAAATCTTAGATGTATGTGCATAATTGCAATTCCTTTTTAAATAAGCTTGCTTCTGAAATCAGTGGGAGTCTCACTAAGACAAGGATGGTATAGAATCACTGTGACACTCTAAGTAGACTTTCAAAGAAAGGAAGCAACAGATTTTAGATCTCTTATTTTTCCAGCACTGGCTTTATAGCTAGCACCAACTGTACCTCTCATACAGCACACCCCAAGCTGCAAACCTACACCAGTTAAAAATTAAGTTCTTCTGCCATTTGATACAACCATCCCACTAATGGGTATATATCACCCCAAAATTAAATCATCATATAAAAAAGATACCTGCACACTCATATGTTTATTACAGCACAATTCACTATAGCAAAGTTATGGTATCCACCTAAGTGTCCATCAGCTGATGACTGGATGAAGAAAATGTGGTAATATATACAATGGAATACTAGTCAGCCATAAAAAATGAAAAAATGTCTTCTATAGCGACATGGATGGACTAAGCAAAAAAATTCAGAAATGAAAAGGCAAATACGACATGTTCTCACTAATAAGTTAAGCTAAGTATGCGTACACGTGGACATATAAGAGTGTGGAATAACAGTCGCTGGAGACTTGGAAGGGTGAGAGAGTGGGAGGGGGTAAAGCATGAGAAATTACTTAAGGGGTATAATGTACACTCTTCAGGTGATGGTTACATTAAAAGCTCAGGCTTCGCTACTATACAATATATCCATGTAACAAAACTGCACTTGTACTTTTTAAATTTATACAAATAAAAAAATTTAGTTCTTTTTTTATCTTGGAAAAGTGAATCATCTTTTTTTTTCCTTTTTTTTTTTTTTTTTTTTTTTTTTTTTTTTTTTTTTTTTTTTTTTTTTTTTTTGAGACAGTCTCGCTTTGTCACCCAGGCTGGAGTGCAGTGGTGCGACCTCAGCTCACTGCAACCTCTGCCTCCTGGGTTCAAGTGATTCTCCTCCCAAGTAGCTAGGACTACAGGCGTGTGCCACCACATCTGGCTAATTTTTGTATTTTTAGTAGAGATGGGGTTTCACCATGTTAGCCAAGATGGTCTTGATCTCCTGATCTTGTGATCTGTCTACCTCAGCCTCCCAAAATGCTCGGTTTACAGGCGTGAGCCACCGCGCCCGGCCCATTTCCAAAAGTTTTAAATTGATCCAAGCCTTTACTTAACTGTCATTTTGCCCATTAAAAATATATGAAGGTGAGGACTCAGGTTTTACCACGAAATTCTTTTCCCCTACTAGATCCTAGCTTCCTAAACTGTGTTATAATGTATGACTACATTTCAATTAATTAAGATGTTGAGCTGGAAATGCTAAAAATTCTTGAAAAGCTTGGTTAGATGAGTTCAGCACATTCCAGTATACAAGCTCACCTGCACATCATGAAAGTTTAAGGTACTAAATTTTAAAAAATGACAAGGTGATGAACTTCAGCACAGAAAAACAATGCAATACTAAACTTGGGCCAGCAGATGGTGCTCTCCAGCCCATGGCATGAACCAAGATGGTAAGTGTAATCATGCGGTCCACTGGACCATTTAAGGGCACAAATCATGAGATCACACCATCAGAATACTTACGTTTCTGTGAAATAGAATAGAGGGATCTAAAAATATATAAAAATCAATGAAAAATAAGTGTGTTGCTTTTTTGAAAATTATACTTAATATGCAAGATCTAACAGCACAGGAGGATTGATCTTATTCAAAATGGTAAATAAAAGGATTCTTCACTAATGATCAGGAGGAGAAGAATGTCCAAGTTCAGACAGAAAGAAAGTTGAGGAGGAAATGGTAGGTGAGAAAATAGAAACAGAGGCTTATTACGAAAGGAAAGAGAGAGCTCAGCACATAAAGAATAAAGTTAAGGCAGGTTTGAGGCATTTTTAGGGGTAAAAAAGGCTTGTACAGGTTAGTGAAGAACATGGGGAGAAGGGCAAGAAACCACGTGCACCTACCATGGCAATGCAATACTGCAAGTCTATCAAAGGACAACCAACTAGCAGGTTAAGAACTCCACTTTGCCGATTATGATAAACATTAAAAAGAAAAAAAGGAAAAATTAAAAGTGATACAATATAAAAAAATTCTATCCCAGCCTGCATATATTAAAGATCTCACTTCAGGAAACTACATACCCACAGGTACAAATATGTATGCTGGGCCCTAAGGTAACAGGTATTTCCCCCTGTGGGTTCTAATAAAAAGGTCTGAAAGCTATGGAAATATTAAATGTTCCCCCAGTGCCCCACCTCTCTCTCAAGCTAATAATACCAGCTACAAAATCTCCAAAACAGAAATGTAACTGTCAAAAGTGAGATCCCAAAATCCCCGAAGGGAAACAGGGCAAAACATACAACATAATATTTAATAAACTATGTAAATTATGAAGCAGAAGTCAGGGCCGAGGAAGATGCAATATAATGTCATTAGAGAAAAGTCTAACTACCAGGTGTGACTCTCAGTCCCATCTCTGGCATCTTCTCCCACCCTGAATAAAGGGACGCTGGGGTGCTGAAGGGGAGCTGGCAGGAGAGACAGCAAGGCTGGGGATGAGGCGCATGGCAGGACCTACAGCATCTCTCTGGGAAGGAATTGGTGAAGGTCCAGAGATGGGAGTGGAGTGAGGAGAAAGGTAATACATTCAACGTCAAATCCTATCACCAAGTAGAGGACGGGACATGTAATACGCCCTTTTATTAATGTTTGCTGAAGGTGTCAGTAGGTCTCAATAATACCAGCAGTTTTATTACAGGAAGTTAGTGACTAAGCAGGTATGATAGTTTGGAACTTCTTATTCCAAGGTCATCACCTGCCATCATTAGAAAATGGGAGTGCTGCTGCTTTTCACGCCATCCTCACAATCTTTGTGACTGTCAGACACTTCAGTGGCCACCTGTAAGGTACACTGTGCTCCCCTGGAACTAGCTCTTCAAGAATTTCAAAGATGTTTGTTTGGTTTCCAAGTGGAAACCAATCTGACACTTAGAAGGTCAAAGACAAAAATGAATGGGTGCTCAAGGACATAGGGTGCTCAAAGATGAAGAAGTTTCAAAGAAGTTTCAAGGTAAATTTCTCAGCGCCATGATGACAGGCTATACAGAGGCCGCGTCAGAACTTGCCAATGATGTTCACAGTTGCTTTGGGCAGAGGGTTTGCTTTTGTTGGGTATTTCTGGCTTGTATAATTGGTTTATTTGGGGCTTATGTACATTTAAAAGAACCTAATAGCAGCACACACCTACAACCTATTTACTACGTGCCATGTACTATTCTAGGCATTTCCAAGTTTTAACTTATTTAATAAATGTATACACAACTACTAATCTCAGTTACCTGTTCAGTGGTTTATTCCGTTCCACTAAAAGTATCTCTGTTTCTTCCATGTTCCTCCTGCAAAATATAAAGAGAATACCGTTAGTGATTGGCATAAATGCACACAAAATGTTCTACATTATTATTTGCTATTTTCCAAACTTGGAGTGCCAAAAGGGCTTCATTAAACTTTACTCAATTATTTCAGCTGCCTAATTTTACTGAGTTCCTAAATAGAATCTTAAGAAGACATCATTACTACCTACACAGATAATAAGAGATTTGAAAAACAACTTACAGCTTCATAAGAAATTAAGGTGACACAATCAAAAGTTAGATACACAGGGAAACAAACTAGAATAAGAATCTCCTGGATTTTGAATCCTTCTACATATGATATGCCTTTTCAAACCACACTCCTTGTGAAGTTCTTTTTCAGGTGGGCAGTACCTTTCCTTGCTAGGTGAAATAACTGCTATTCTAAAGATAGAAACCATTGATTTGGTTTTAAAGATTTACTTAAAATTAAAAAAAAAAAAATTATAAAGGGAAGCCTTTAACAAAAAAGAGGTTATTCCCCAGAAAAGGTAATTGTTCAGAATCTCTGGCAGGTGACATTTACCATTGGGAACGCATGAGTGTCTAGGTTCCGTCCCTGAAATCTCTGGCTCCCAAAGTCTCTCTCACTAAGGTTCCAGAGATGATCACGTTGATCAATACCGCTTCATGCTAACAAAGCTCACAAGAGACTGAAAAAGCCAAAATGCCCAAGTATTCACTTATCATGAAAAACACAATTGTCAGATATGCCGGACACCTGCTCCATCCAGTTTGGAAGCCAATAAATCCTAGGCATAAGCACCTCATAGGCAGGCAAAGATTAGGCCACACTAACAGCAGATTGCTCAGTGAGCATATCAGAGCAGTCTCCACCAGGATGCCAATGGACTCCAAAACAATCTCTCTAGCCAAGCATTCTCCCGCATTCTCCACCACCAGCATCCTAGTCCAAGCTGCCATTGTTCTTTCTCCTGGAAAAACACAAAACACTTCTTGCCGTTTTCCACTTCCGTACTTTCTCCCCTCCAATTCATGATCCACAATGTGTCCAGAGTAAACCCTTTGTTTGACTGTCTGTCTGTTTTGGAGACAGGGTTTCACTACGACACTCAGGCTGGAGTGTAGTACTAGAGTCACAGCTCACTGCAGCCTCAAACTCCCGGGCCCAAGCGATCCTCCCACCTCAGCCTCCCGAGTTGCTGGGCTACAGGTATGACTATGCCTGGCACAAAAAAAAAAACCTTTTAAAATAGAAAACAGATCGTGGCTCAGCCCTACCTGTACTCTTTAGTGCTCTGCATTGGTCTATGACAAACACAGAGTGGGGACTCTCCCTCATTGTCCTCTGACTTCAGCCACACTGGTCTCTTCACTCCTATGAATGCACAAGATCACTCAACACCGCAGAGATTTCCCACACCTTATTTTCCCTGCTTGGAAATTAATGCACGTATTCTGCCCTCCCTCCCCTGACACACGTGCCTACCCAGGAACCTGCTCACCCTCACTCTAGTTACATGATCCCATCACTAGGACAAATTCCCCTATGCTAAGCCCCCAGGACACCTTGACCTTCTCCACCAGAGCACTTGGACAGTTTGTAGCTACCTGTAACTATGCATTGCACAATTACTTAATTTAGGTCTCCACAAGGGTGGACACGGAGTTCATTTTATTAGCGTGTTCCCCAGTATTGACTACTCAACAGATGCGTTCTTGAATGAATGGTGGCTTCGGGCTAACAGAATCTGTTGCATGCATTGCCAGAAACAGGGATAATTCTGCCAGACAGACATAGGGCTCTGCTGAAGAGGCTCCACCCCCACAGTGCACACCCCCACCCCGGGTCACCAGTAATTAGACGGGCATTGTCTACATTCAGTTCTACAAATTTTTGTTTCCTATACTCCCTTGGCCAAAATAAATCTTCAGATACTAAAAAAGAAAGAGCACAAAGTTCAAGTCACATTTGGGTGGCAACCCAGCAGAGAGGACTCACGGAAGTGGGTTACTAAGAAACATCATAAACAAAAAGGAAAACAAATTTCAGCCCAAGGAAATCCTTGATGAAACAACCCTGGTGAGTAGATACACAGACACACACAGACCAAAGCAGTGGCTCTCAGAGGAGGGTGCGTGAGAGCCCAAGGTTGCCGCGGGATGCCACCACAGCCAGGGGGCCAACAGCAAGGCAATGTGAAGATCCCCGAAGGAGGCCTCACTCCCTGCCCCTCCTCCGACCGCCAGGGCCTGCCCCGCATGCTTGACACCCAGGAGACCTGTTGTGCACTGAGTGTTCGATGCGCTCCCATTGGCCTAACAAATCAACACTTAATGGGCATTTCCTAACTCACCAAGTAGAGTGTTTTAAATGGCTCACAGCTGTGGTTAATTTTTATAAGATCTTCTAACATTTCAGTCTTCTTAGCAATAGGGATGAGAACAAAACTGGAGGGAAGAAACCCCTTAATACACTTGGCTCTAAATTCCTATCTAGTTATGGGGTTAGAGACGGTCAATTTCACTCATCCATTCAAAACAGTGTGCACTGCAAATAGTGTGCACCTCATTCTAGGTGGTGTGGCTGTGTACCGAACAAGACAAAAGGCCTTTTTCAAGGGATAACGTTCTGGAAGGAGACTGACAATAAATGCTGAAGTAAAAGATAAAACCCATCAGATGACAATACGTAGTATAAAGAAAAGTAAAGCAAGTGAGGGTGACAGAGAATGTGTGTTCGTTGGGGGTGGGGGCTGGGAGTCAACATTTAAACAGGGTGTCCAAGGAAAGCCTCTCTGAGAAATTGCCGTATGCGCAAAGATCTGAAGAATGCGGAGAAGAGAACCGTGCAGACATCTCGGGAAGAGTAGTTCCAGACAGGATCAGCCAGTGCGAAGACCCTGAGGCTGAAGCATGTGGCCTGTCTTGGGGCATAGGAAGGAACAGCAATAGGAGGTGAGATCAGAGAGGTGAGCGAGGGGTTGCAGAGGACAGCACTAAAGACCGGTGGCTTTTATTCTGAGTGCCACAGAATGCACCGGAGGTGATGCCTGCAACAACCTGCCCCATGGAATGCTACAGAGGGGCCGGGCCATCATCTGGCTATGTTTAGAATAAACTGAGAAGAAGGCAGGCAGGCAGCTAGGCTGGTTACTGGGCTACCGGACAATGCAGAGACGAGAGGACAATGGCGTGGACCAGGAGCAGCAGCACAGCTGCTTCCATAGAGCTGTTGGGGTCTTCACAGAACGTGAAGCAAAGGCCGTGGAGCTAACTTTCTCTTCCCGAAGGGCTGATTTTAGTGCTCTTAATGCTTTTCTCACTAACCATGCTTTTTTTTAAATTAGTACTTTTATAAAATAAAATTTAGTGGGTTTTAATCTACTACAAAAGTAATAGATGATCAGGCTGGGAGTGCTGGCTCATGCCTGTAATTCCAAGACTTTGGGAGGCTGAGGCAGGTAGATCACCTGAGGTCAGGAGTTCGAGACCAGCCTGGCCAACATGGTGAAACCCTGTCTCTATTAAAAATGCAAATATTAGCTGGGCGTGGTGGTGTCTCCCTGTAGTCCCAGCTACTCGGGAGGCTGAGGTGGGAGAACTGCTTGAACCCAGGAGGCGGAGGCTGCAGTGAGCTAAGATTGTGCCACTGTACTCCAGCCTGGGCAACAGAACAAGAACGTGTATCAAAAAAAAAAAAAAAAAAAAAAAAAAAAAAAAAAAAAAAAAGAGAGAGAAATAATAGATTATCCCTAAAGAGAGTGCAAAAGGTCAAACAAACCAAACCTTTGCATCACATTATAAAAGAACTAAAAATACAAGTACTTCTTATACTGATCACCACCATATATTACAGTGAAATAAGAGATTTCTTCCCTAGGCAAGGAGAAAGATCATTCTATACACCCTAAACAGTTTTCCACTTGAAGATCTATTGATACACAGCAGGACAAACACCAGACAGAAGTACTGTATTCTTAAAACCAAGCTTAGGTCAGTATGGGCTAACCCTGAAATCTCTCGGCTGTGCCAGTTTGAGATTAATGAAGAAATGTTTGGTCCATCACTCATAAAACCACACTTTTCTACACAAAGACTTTCTCTCAGAGAAACCCATGATGATGACATAATGTGAAGTAAAATTTAGGTATAGTAAAATTCTTTAAAAATGAAATAAAGTACCCTTTTTAGTCTCTGCATTGTTGATTAATACCGGGGTTTAAAAAAAAAAAAGGTAGGGGAAGCTCAGTGCACAGAACTGTCGTCATGGAAACCATCCTGCTCCAGGGCAGGGGAGCAGCTCTTCACTTGCTGTCATCAAGCCACCAAGCGTCTCATCTGTGTGGGAGACAAAGCCACGTCCTCCCCAGTCAGAACACTGCTGTATAGTCAAATATGATCACTTGGCCTGGTGGTCTGTAGCTGCAAACCAAATTAAACTGTGATTCTCAACATTTGACTCCTATGACTGATATGCCGTATTTGTTTACCTTCTCTCAAACAGAGCTACCAACAGATCAGTCACTCACGGTGACTTGGGCAGTATCAATTGTCCACTAGAGTAGAGCTTTTCACACTCTGAGGCGCACATGAGCTGCCTGCAAGTCCTGTTAAAAAGCAGATTCTTATACAGATAACTCATGGAAACATCACCTGTGCGGTAACATACGTCTCTCAACTCCTCTGAGCTATTTTAGTTCATCCTAATTTTCTTAACATTTTTCAGACACGTATTTCTTTCTTAGTTTGCTTCTGAAGTATAAAAGATAATAGTGGTGAGATTGGAAAAACAAAAAATGCTGTTTCTCTATGACAGGGATCCCCAGCAGAGGATCACCTGAGCCGCAGTGAGTCCTGACTGTGCCACTGCACTCCAGCCTGGGCGACAGAGTGAGACTCACGCAAAACAAAACACACAAACAAAACAAAACAAAACAAAAGGCTCCCCAGCATGTCTGTGAGCAAGACCTACTTTTTGTTTCTCTGAAATCCTAAGATGACCAGAAGAAGATGGTGTG